CCCCAAAACCCCAAAACCCCAAAACCCCGAAAGAATAAGATTAATTTGAGTATTAATAATTTTAACAGAAAATGGAAAAGGAACCTGATGATGAAGAAAATAAAGAAGTAATAGATCACTGGAGGATATCTGAAAAGCTCCAAAGCGATGAAAAGTGCTCACATAAATTTATTATTGGGAACCATAAGGCCAAACAGTACCTCTGCGAAGGAATCATGCTGCCATTTTAGATATCCTCAATTCTTTGTCTCTTTAAGGAGCCCTACTAAGTCATATCTTCTTTTTGGACCTAAAGGATCGGGCAAAGAGTTCATAATTGACATGATTGCTCAAGATTCTAATGCGAAAGTTGAAACCATAGATTTTTCTGATATTAAATGGGAAGAAACCAGAATTGAGAATAACAAAATACTCATTGAAGTTATAGACAATATTTTTAATGATTCTTGAAAAGAAAATCAAAAGATTATCTGGCTGAAGAATATTGATAATCTTAAGCCAGGAGCTGACTATTATTCAAGAGCATTAATGACAACACTTCTTCTCAATTTCAGCAACATTTCTTTAAAGAATAGCTTGGCCGTAATTGCTACTTCAGAGGCTCCTTGGGGTATTAATCCTTCAATTAGAAGAAGGCTTGATAAATAGAATATATTGTAAACTCCCAGGAAGACAGGATAGACTTGAAATGCTTCAAAGTAATATACTTGGATTTGAATCCTTATTTACTGAAGAAGAAATCTCTCAAATTTGTGAGCTCACAGAAGGTTTCGGATTTTCTGATCTTGATGGGTTGATTGAAAGTATCATCAAATATCCCTTAAGCCACCTTACCCAAGATCCTATGATCTTTGAGGTAGCTATAGAACAGTTGGACATCCCTAAAATTTCATTAGATGAGGTCCAAAAATACATTGAAGCAGTCACACCCCCTACATTTGACGATTCAAAATTTGAAAAATGGAGGGAAGACTTTACGGATTTTTAATATTCATTTTGAAGTTCAGTCGGCTGGTATTTCCGAGGGGTTTTGGGGTTTTGGGGTTTTGGGGTTTTGGGG